CTACGTTATAGACCTGTATGGTAGCAAAGGTCAGAATTAAAGCTTCCCTTAACAGCAAAGACTTCCTTAAACATGTCACCTTTAATATTAACATTCTCTGGCTCCTGGCATGTCTGTTTCAGTGTCTGACATTCATTGTGTTGACTGACTCCCAGCAACCTGCAGCTGAGAGGACTTAATGCTTTTCATCTTTTTAAGAAGACATGAACAAATTAATCCTCCTTCAATTCCTGTGATGGTGGAGGTACAATCATTATATGGAGCCACGTATATGATTTGCTCAAGGTCACAGCAGCAGTTGATCTTATAGCCAGGATTATGATTCAGGTCTCCACTCCTCAGAGAGCTATGGCAGGCACCTCTGTGCAGCTTACAGACAACAGTTCTTTTGCTTAAAAATGTACTCAGAATTACAGTTAGAGATTATAAGAAATTATGGGGGTCATCTGGGTTTATTTCTGCAGCAGCACATGTACAAACTATATGAGTTCACACTCCTATGCTACTATGTAAAGGAATTTAAACCACATTTGTACCCAGGGAAAAAAACCCAACCCAAACAGTATCTGTTCTCCTAATGAATATCAATTAAAACATCATTGGCAGTATTTCCAGCTGCTTTCCAGACCTGCTATTTATTTATACAGGGCTCAAAAGAGCTTTACAAATTTAGGACACCAGATCATGTTTAGGAAAAAGATTTTACAAAGCTCCTCATGTTCAGATCTTCTTTCTAGACACCTCAGTAATATAGTAAGCACTATTGGAAAGACTAAGAAGGTCAGAACAGCATTATAAGAGGCAGGAGAGTAAACAGGAATCTCGTTATACACACCTTCCTGCAAATTCTAACCTCAGCAACCTGGGTTTCAAATGAATTCAGCAACAAAATTCCTATTGATTTTTAGCAACGGAGAAATGAATACAGTCACTATGTCTTTTGCCACATGGATTTTCTCTGAGCTCAGCGAGGCTGCTCAGAATAATCCCATCTTATAAACAGCAGGACTGTTTATGTCCTAAACAAAGAGATGCTGTGCTAAAATAATTTGCATTTTATAGCTTTCGTGGTGCATATATTAAATTGACTTTGATTTCAAGTCACCAAAACAAGTATTTTGTGACCTGTTTTTCATCACTAACTTCACTCTAATGCTATTCAAACTGAAAATGAATGTTAATTTTAAAAGCTTGTATTTGTGATTTTACAAAACAAAAATTAACCAAAGAATATGTACTGATAGGGCTTTTATGTTCTGTCCAGTTTTGGAAACAATAGAGCTTTACTTTTCAACTCCAGATGGCACTGTGGTGCTTAACACTACCCAATTGGGGGAGAGCTGATGGATTGCAAAAGCATGCAAGCTCCTGGAAAACAATGGCTTTCTTGTTTTATGAGAAATCAGCTGCTAATAGTTTTCCAGTGCAGATGTCCTATTTTACGTTCAGTTCGGTGAAGACTGGGCTCACAAATGGCAGTTTATGTGCCTGAGACACGACTCGAGGAAGAAAGGGCTCGCTTGTCTGTACTTGCACGAGGTCATCAGGGTAGTAGCCCTTGCTTCTACCAGCACAACCTAATGCAACACACACTATTGCAGAATGAAGGGAGAAGCTCTGCTGTTGCACAGCTCTTCCTATTCACAGTGATTCAATCTACCTCTGTACAATTGGCAATTCTTCTCATAAAAGTGTATTTTCAAGGATGGAGTGCAATCCATTGAATTAATGAGTAACTTTGGTAAGGAAACCCATAGACTATACTCTTTGGAAGACTTCCCTTGCCATTCCATATATTCACTTAAGACTATTACAAAAACGTCTACAATAAATAATATTCTTCCTTCAGGTTCATCCTTCAAAAATCTAGGAAAAAAAGGAAGTTCATGTATTTGCTTAATCATACAGTCATCTATAGTGCATCTCTTCTTACACATTAATTTTTTTTGAGATTCTATCCCCTTAAGTGTTTATAGTCTTCTCAACTCTTAATTTTGTAGAAGTCTGCCCGACACCTACATTCTTTTAACGCCTTCCTAGCTAATATGCTAATTCTCCAATTTTATATAGAGTAATTTCTACATACTTGTTACCTGACCTATGGTCCCAGTTAAAGTTCCCAGCTCCCACTGCGCAATCACTAAACAGTTGCTCAACCCAAGTCTGAGTAACATCACTGGTTCTTCTGGGCATTGCATCCAACAGGATTCTAGAATTTGCTCCACAGGCCCATGAATTTCCCATAGGCCACGATAACCCACAATTCCAAGCAAAACTCAAAGAGTTTGCATGGGTTCATTTGCAGGCTGTTATTTTTAACCAAAGTTAATCCTTTGCCATTAGTTAAGGAAACAACTGAAGACATAGAAAGGGCAGGCGATTTGTCATACATCAATGACTATTTCATTACAAAGAGTTTATGAAAGAAACCACACAAAGCAGAATGTCCTACATTACTAAACAATAATGATGCCTCTGAAGACTAAACACCCGTACAACACCTACTTTTGTTCCACAGCTCTGTAGCTCTTAATTTTCTTCTCCACCCTCAAAGTTGCATAAGGACAGTGGTGGCTCCTGAGAGCATTACAGAGCGCATAACTGGTATGTTATTGGAGTATGTGACACAACAGACAAGCATTTCTACTTTTGGAATGTGTTCCTGTCCATTCTAGGTTTTCTGAATAAAACTCAGAATATGTCCTGAAGTATTTTTTTTTAAATTCAAAATAAACTTTAATTTAAGAAAACTGTTCCCAAAACAAAATTCATATACATGGTATTTACAATTTTGCTGCTGACTAGGTAATATTTACATGTAATGCAAAATCTTCCCCTTGCATTAGTCACACTTAAATGCACTCCACTCAGCCTTTACACTGAAACTAGTGCCAGAGTAAACAAGAGAGAAATTTCTGAAAAAAAATAATCTTTTTCATATAACAATGACACACATGATTAATTAAAAAAAAAAAAAATCTAACCTAAGAGGAACAAACCAAAGCACTGTTGTTATACCATTAGAAAAACTAAATTGGCAATAGATCAACGTGCATTTCCTGAAGAGGAACATACAGAGTGGTAAGAAACTTTATTGGCTGCAATGCTAAGGTCGTTGAACCTAAGATGAACAGAGAGCTGGGTAAAAGCCAGATGACAACTACAATAACAAACTGGCTTTGGCTTAGCACCAGCATTTTCCTAGTGCATATTCTTCTGTCATCCTCTCTGCTGCAGCACAACTTCATTCCCTTTTAATCTCAAGGCAGAACGTGAAGGAGGAAGATAAAATCTTCCTCCTTCAGCATCCCTGAAGCTTTTCTAAAAGATCTACTGCTCTTTCTCCTTGCACCCTCTCACCCTGCACCCTCTGTTGCAAATCTGTGCTGGTGTTGTGGGAGGAAGATGAGCACTATTCAAAGCACCTTTGTTTTTAAAAAAAAACTTTTGGGGGTGGAGTATCTCTCCAAATCTAATTACATAAAGCTAAGTATGTTCTAGGTACCCTGTTGCCAAAGCTGCAGCTCAGCCAGTGAGCAACTCCACACCTACACTCAATTGTCTGGCTGCTGATTCACATCAGTAGCAAGGTGGATCCGTCATACACCGTCAAAACTATGTGCTCACTGGGGCAGCTGCAGCATTAAACTGTCTCATGTACTTAAAAGAAGTTGCAATTTTTTTTTTCTTTCTCTAGCCATACCATTATGTGCTCAGAAAGATGTCAAATTTAACACAAATGGCACATCAGTGGTGTCAGTCTCTGACCCGTTCAACAGGATCAGCAAACTTTTGTTTTTCTGACCAAACAACTTACCGTGGCATGGACAGTTGCACGAGACAAACATCTCTGATGTCTTGTGTGTCATAATCTAGACTTACTTTAAACCTGTTTGGAATTAACTTGAAGATGTTGCAAAATGCTATTTGATACATTTTGCAAAAAACAGATAGGAGACTGCATCTCAGGTAAATGAAGAACGGAAGTAGTATCTACAGCCTTCTAGTACTGCCTTCCAGAACTGAAGCAAGAGAATTAAACATTGGATGGAACATAATGGAAACTGGTCTACACAGAAGAAGTAGGTTCACGTCCTAATTACTGTCTTGTTGAAACTGATTCTGTCAGTTCTATTGTGGGTGATCTAGCCCTCTTCTTTGCCTGCTGGGGAAAAAGGTGCAGAACTTCTATAAATGTTTCTTTGCTAATTTAGGCCCAAGCATATTTTGGTTTTTTGTTTTGTGTGGCTTTTTTTTTTCCTAACAAGTACTAGTCTTTTGCTGAGCAGCCTCATACTTCACTTTTTGCTTCCACTAAACCTGCTGCAAGATGAGGCCTGGATGCAGGGGATGTGGCTTAATATTAAATGCAGAAGAAGCACTCTCTTAAACAACCTTGTATGCTGGCAATCTGAGCCCTTTCAGTCTGTGCTCAGCTTTCAGAACAAAGCAGCAGCATTTATGAGATCACATAAAAATTCAAGCCAGTTAAAACTATAGTTTCTAGAGACTACTCTAGAATTAGGTATTTTATTATTTTGGATTGTTAAATAAACAGTCCAGAGAATGCAGCTTAGTTTTCCCACTGTAGTTTAACTCTGCAATACTTGACTCTTCTCTAATAAAGTGCTTGCACATGTTCACTTCTCTCTTTGAAAATCTCTTTTTTGGGAAATATCAATTTTGGCTTTTACATTTTTCCACTGACTCTTTTCCTTCCTCTTAAGGGAACAATTCATCCTCTTCTTTCTGCCAAAATGCAGTGATTGGTAACAGTGCTGAATTTTTTTAGCGTACCTTTTTTGTTACAGCCATAGCTATGCAGCCAGATTTGTAAAGCTATTAGCATAGTGACACATTCATATTTTTTAATGGGAAAATAAACAAGTTAAGGCTGAAGTTTTACACCTCACCACATTAAATAGCCAAACTTCTAAAGTTTCTCATTTTAACTCATCCTAAAACTGTCTACATTCACCACTAATGCAAGTTTTTGTCTCCTATCCCCTTCTTTATCAGAGTCTTTGGAGCCTGCTGGGAGAGATCATTCTTAGAAAGTGATCATCATGTTGTTGGGATTTCTTCAGATCTGGATTGATGTTTCAAACATCCCATCCCATTTTCTGGAACAAGCAGACCACACCATTTTCCAAAATTAATCCAAAGAAGATGGCCAACCAAGGGAGCACTCGGTTCAAGTTCAATGTAACTGCAAAAGAAAACAGAACAAATTTATCACTTACCATTTAAGAAGATCATAGAAACTATGTGAGAATTCACATTAATTTGTACGTATATGAAATCACACAAATCTTTTAAAAGCCTGCATTCCAAAGCTATGCATGAAATTAACATGAAATTTTCATTTTTCAGAAACAAAAAGAATTCTATTTTATGTTTCAATGATCCATGATGATTTGTCTCAAATTCTAACTGATGGACATAATAATACAGCATATACAAAGAGACGATGGTGAGATCAGAGATGTTTTTACTTTTTTTGATAAAGTGTTTCGTTTCATTCACTTTCTATTAAAGTCTAAATAACACAGTTTTAAGCTAGAGCTGTTTCAGTCACATATCTGATACCAATTAAAAATAACTGTAACGGCTTCTGTAACAGATGCATTCTCTTACACACATTCTATACAAATAATGTAGTAATAAGAAACCAAAAACGTACCTCTAATTGCCTGAGAGTTTGATATCAAGACAAACACTTTTATAAACGCAAGGCACAAAGGCGTGTAGTCATGTTCCCAAATAACAGCTGGAATTAGCAAAAGCTTTCCGTAGCTGGATAACAGTAGTGCTTTGAGAAGTAACAGGAAGTCAGACTTTGTTTTCAGCATCTCAGGTCTCATCCACCATAAGGTAATAAAAATGCCAACCAAAAATGAAGTTTGTTCTAAGAGAAATAAGAGGAGTTGGAAAGAGAGAATGAAGCACCAAAATCAAGTCTTTTTCTGGATAGATTTCAGTGAAATGATGTGTCCCAAATGCAACTGAGCCACTATTTTTATTTGCTATTTAAAAGACACGCAAAGCATGACCATGTCCTCCATCTCCGGTGTTCATTTTAATAGGCAAATGTTACGATTACTTACTTAAACTAATTCAGTATCATGACATTCAGAATAATTCTATCAATCACAGAATTCTATCTGTAGGATTGTCATACTCATCATTTCTGACACCATACATAAGAGCCTCTTTACTTTTCCTTTTTAACAAAAGGAGGGTTTTTTCAACTGTCTGTTAGCCTGTAAAAAAAAAAATCAATACTTGTCTTCTTTGAAAAGGTCACCAGCAATGAACCCTTTCCATCCAGCATGAGAAAGAACACTAGGGTGAAAATATCGTTGAGCTATTAGACTTTTTTTGACACCACATCCCTGTGTAACACTGGAATTAATGCAGATGTCAAAGCAACTCTCATGACAACTGTAACAGACAAATTACTGCTGAAAAATGAGTTCCCACATTTTTACTGACATGTTATGAAAGCCTACTTAAAGCAACATTAGACAATAAATGACTTAAGTTAAGCTCCGAATGTCTAAGGGAAATACTAGTTTTAGTCCACAGGCTTGATTTAAACACTATCACCAGGAAGAGTATGAGAATAAAAATACTAACCAAAATAAAAGAAAAACCCTCCCCTTCCTTCAAATGTAATCTTAGAGCACAGAAGTATTTAGTCTTTACCACTGATGACACTACTCTGTATTTTTGTGTATTCATTTAAAAAAAAAATCACACATATACAGATTTTCCCAATTATTGTTTACTTCTGTAAGGATCACCCTTAATGTTTTATCAACTTAATGAGTAATGAACCTTGAAGTCAACATAATATATGGAATAAATCTGAGCTCTACATGGCTCTTCAAACTATGTAAATGGATTCAAAGATTTTGAAATATTGCCACTTTTCAGTGTTTTGATATCTAATGCTGATCATATCAGTATGAACTCTAATCAAGATCAAAATATGCATTTGCATTAAATGAAGGCAAGTTATAGAATACATGTATAATCATTTAACCAAACTGTGTTGGACATGTCATCCATCATGTACTCATTTGCGCAATACAGGCTTGTTGAAAGACTCATGAAGTTATTCAATGCTTAAACAGCAGATAGTGATATGAACTAATCATCAATCTTACCTAAAGAAGCTATACCAAACATTCTATAAAAATCCCATTCCTTGGCATATCTGATTAAGTCATCAGGTTCTATATTTTGGCTTGAATCCTGTAGTTGCAACCACCTGAGATAAGCTTCACAGAGCAAACAAAATACGCAGAGCTTCCCATGAATCTGGTAAGTAAAAGAAAAATAAAAGCGTTAATATTAAATCATCATAAATTGAAGCATTAGTAAGAAACTGGTATTTTAAATACATTTCAACATCTCTAAACAAAATTTTGTTTAGAAATATTAGCAAATTACTTCCGTGGAACCACTAGTTTAGCACATCATTCCTTTAGCATCAATTAACATGACAGGCAAATTAGAAGGTATAGAAAACTGCATGAATAGTTCCATACAGAAGAAGGTATATAACTCTGGTTTCAAAGCCTGCTCTAGACTTCTTTAAAATTGGGAAGGCCATTTCAGTTAGGAATATAAAAACAAATTTGTGCCATAGCTAGTACAATTATACAATCAAAAATTTCAGTTTAAGGGCAACTACTCCATTCAGTGAACTGGTTTAAATAGTGTTGTTTCACTTTTTCCCTGGGACAATCTCCATTAGAAGAAACTGGTCATGTAGTTATACCAAAATCATTTCTTAGTTCAGATAAGGGTGAAATACCAAAAATAAATGGAGCAATATAACCAAACAAAGCTTAAAAATATCCTCTGAAGTGATTGCAAGAATGATGTTCTGAGGGCCCACAGTTAGCATGTTTCTACATTAAACAGTCTATAAGCCAGTATGTATGTGTGGTGTATTTTTTTTATACAGATGTAAATAAACCAATGCAACTTCTGCACATGGATTCTGCTTTTCCCATTAGAGCCTAGTTACGGCAATTGCACATACATGCACAGGCTAAGCCAGTTTAAAATTCAACTCAATTCATTTGAATAAATGAAATTTCCACAGATGAAGCCTCACAGAAAACCAGTCTCCAAAATCACTGAATTAATGAAAAATCTGTAGTCAGATTTATGCTTGAAAGACGAGGCAAGTTATTTATCTACATTGCTTAACACTGCACTGGTCAAGAGGTATCAGCACGAACAGGGCATGCACTTACGCTCGGATAGTTTGCTCTAGGTTAGCTTCCCTCTCCTGGGAAATCAATCCTTAAAGTAAAAATATGCAATTCTGGCAGAAAAGCTGCACTTCTACAGTCCAGCCTGGCCAGCACAACTAAGTTGACTTCGTAACTGCATCAACAATGCTTCACGTGAAAGCTGCTATCTTTTGCTAGAGCTTGGAGGGCATGGTGATTATTCAGGAAGAAACTCATGAGAAATTAATACAGTAGGTTTAATTGGCATAGTATTGTTAATGTGGTACATTATGCTACTATAGCTCATTTCAGAAAGAATTGTTCCCAACAGAAATTTAATTTGGAAATTAATTTGAAATTAGATCTTTCTCTTCCAGTGTAGTTTAGCACATCATCCTTTTAACATTAATTAACATGACAGGCAAATTAGAGGGTGTAGAAAACTGCAAGAAGAGTTCTGTACAGTTCCTTCTCTTTTAGCAAGTAAGATGACTACTGTATTTGCTGGCATTGTGACATCACGACTGTGGACAGTAACTTTCTTAGTAACTGCTAGAGTTTGAGATTTCCTGTGTTGCATTTACAGCATAACTGGTTCAGCTTGCTGGAACATGTGGAAGGGCAGGAGAACACTTACCAAATCTAAATATATCTTTAACCAAAAAAACTAGGGGCATAACAACTTACATTTATCTTCGTATTGAAAAGAATGTGCCTGTATGCTTGTGCTTTACATAAAATTGCATTAATCAAGATGATAACAGGATCATACTCAATGTATTTGTCCACAGGTTTCTGGCAGGATTTCTGAAAGTCACAAAATAACAGGAATTAGAAAAAAAAAAAGAAAGAAAGAGTTTATTAAATGTTCCTCTAATCTTGACAGAACTGCATGAATCCAAACTAACTATTCAATTCTTATCAGTCTTTCCTTAATGTAATCTTTCATTTTCAATAGGTTTTTAATCCATCCAGAAAAATTGCTTCCCCTTCCTTGACACTACAGTTGACACACAGATTCCCTTATAAAACATAAAGACACATTATTGATTTTTACAGGCTTCAGATTAACACAGATAATAAACTATGCAAGGATGTACTTAGTTGCTGTTTTGTGCCCTACAGATGCCAAAGAACAAACTATCTTCCCAAACTCAAGAAATGGACCGGGATTTTGTTAAAGGTTAACTAATCATGGCTCATCTAATGAATATTTTTGAAGGTATTTTTTGGTATTTTGGGGGGGGGGAATAAAAAAAAAAATTAATTTCTTCTATAATTTCCTTCTTTTAAGAGATGTTTTACCCTCATATTCTACCTTTTTCTTCCTTTCAAGAAGACAGTAAATATATGTTGCTGTTCCACTGTTCTTCCATACTGGCAAATTGTCTAGATGTTTCAACTGATTTTCCATTTCAGACCAAACACCAATATATCCAGAATGCTGATAATGTAGTTTTCACACACAGATACAGCCAAAGAATCAGAAGTTGCTAGTAAATAGTGGTAAGACACTAGACTATTACCTCTCCAATACATCTGCTGTGCCTACTAGAGCACATTTCACCCGGACCACTGGGAACTGCTTGTCGTCAACCCCCTTAAGATTTATTGACTGACTTGGATGGGTGATCTCTCCTTGACTTGAGTTAAATGGAAAGGGCTAGCAAAAGGCAATTATACTAACTGTGGACAGGATGGTTAACTAACAGTCTTACAAGAGGCTCATCTAACAGACCTGGAGGAGAAATAACTTCTAGCAGAGAGTGGGGAGCAGGAGGAGGCGATCACAGGAATCCCTTCAGCTCAAACAAGTGGACTTGCAGGAGGGTGCTTCAGCTTCCTCCTGCCGCTCATCCTCCTGCCTGTCCTCAGCTAATCCTGCTCCCCTGGGCCTCCATATCAGCTGCTGTGCTCAGAGTACAAGAGACCTAGAAACAATCTCCATTTCCATTTTAATGAGTGCTAAAAATACACTAAAAATGCAGCTTTAGGCAACACACACCTCCAGCCCAACTCCCAGGAAAGAATGAAAAATTCTTTTCAATTTGATAGGGATTCCATGTGTCCAAAGTCAACTTTTCCTTGCTATTTACAAGAACTATTACTGGAGAAATTGAGAATGCAAAATTTCACTAGAAATTGACTCAATAATCTCAATACTCTCTATCAAGAAAACATCCAAACAAATGTTTAAATTTAATAGAGCACCAAAGGAATGTTGCTTACCACTAATGAGTGTTTCTTAGTCCAACTCAAGAAAAAAAAACAACAAACAAATTTGGATTAGAAAAGTAAATACTGTGTATGACAGTACACAAGTTAGAGATAATGAATTCAGAAATTGACTCAATTAACTACCAGTTCGATAGGTCTAAAATTAAAGCTAGAGAGATGGAAGAAAGAACATAATTAACCGAAGACCACAGCTACAGGATTTAATAGAGTGAAAAAGAAATTGCAACTATAATTAAAGGCAGTGTTTTGCTTCATTTCTTTCTACAGGGAAATCATTAACAGATATTCTTATAAATGGTAATTTACATATGTCAAATCTCTAGGTTGATGTAGCACAGGAAAACTCCAATTTTTTTATAGGCTTATTCACACAAGCACTGGACAAGCACATACAAAAGAAGATTATTCTTGAACACAATGGGTGTCATGAAGGTTAGATGAAGGATATCCTACATACCTCGGCATTTATTATGCTCTCAAGTTTTCCCATAACACATTTATTTCTTCCAGCTGTACTACTAAAACATCTGACACTAACCTTAAATACCTAGGAAGGAAACTTGTGACTAGAACCTGACTTCAGCAAAATCAATGCAGTTAATGCAGTTTAAGTACATATAGGTTTAACTAGATAGCTTTATGTAGTTAAAGGGACATAACTCTATGGGCATTGATAATCACCAGCACTTCCAGAGAAGATCAGCATGAGCAGCTCAGCTCTGGAGAGTTGCTTGATGCTGACTTTTAAGACTTTAGTCAGGCAGTTTAGAGTGAATACAATACTGGTGCTCATTCCCAGCTCATTCCCAGCTGCAGTTCTGCGCAACTGTAGTCAACAGCCTGGTGACCGAAGAACACACATCCTTAACAAAACTGAGCTTTTTCAATCTTCTTTGGGGATTTCTCAAAGAAATGCCTCGGTTAACATAATAAGTTCTAAAATGATAGAATGGATTTCTCCATCCTTTTAACCAGTTTTTAATTTCTTCCTTAAATATGTAACTGACATCAGAAACAACTGGTATCTTTCCTTGAAAAAAACAGACATTACTTTGATTAAAAGGTACTTTCAGGTAATTGTGCAGAACATAAAGGTCAAGCTTGGCACTGCAAACTCTATTTATGCCTCATCTTCTAAATTGGCAAATTTAAGGAAAATTATGAATATTTGATGCGGACACACAGAAGTCCAACAGTTACTGTGCTCCCCTTAAAAAGGGCGTTGAATGTATTTCAATATTCTAATTAATTTAAATGGATATTATTTAGGAATTGTTTGACTAATCAAGTATTTAGGAATATTTGACTATGTTTGTCTGCTTTTTAAAAAGAAAAAGCTTAATTACTTAGAAATTTGCTTCGTTATCTTAAAAATATTATTTTTTAAAAAATGAGCAAAGGTAGCTTTAAGAAAAAACAGAAATCTTCAAAAGCTAGTACAACCATGTTCTTCATCGTGTAGCGTACCAGATTCTATCTGATCAAAGCACTCCAAAACAGTTAAGGAAAGTAACATATGTTTTAACATCTCAGTTGTATTAAATAAGACAAAAGAAGTACTGAAATGTTAATTCTGAATGCATGTTTATCAGCCTTTTATAAAACACGACTCAAAAGGCATACCTCTTCTTTGTTCATCAAAGATACTCAACTGCAAACACAGTTCACAAATGTACGCCAAATACAGTACAGTGTACAAATATTTGAGGAAATACCTACTGTCACTTAAGGGCAAAATTCTCAAAGTATATGAACATTACTTTTTTAGAGTGCTCTCTCTCCAACATTAAAACACAACTGAATTTTTAAGTAAAAGTATTTTGGGATGGGGGTGGTGGAAGGGAAAAATGTTCTTAAAAAGGAATCCACAGGACACGACAGAAAATAAAAATATACATTGAATAACCACGCTTTATCCTGAACTAAAAATACCATGAAAACCACACCAGGAATATGTTTGCAAATCTCTGGTAATTAGAAACACCAGTGAAACAGTCTTGTTTTAGTATTCTTTTCTCCAGGGTTTGGAGCTTGGCAATTTTTTTTATACAGCAAATTTTAACAATATGTATATAGCTTCAACATGAACATAGTTCCATTTATTAGGGCAAACTAACACAGACCCATCATCTTGAGAGAATGCCCTTAATCCCAGTTGCACCCTTAAACAATAAAATGTAATTAGCTGTGCTGCTTTCAGGAATGGGTTCTTTATTAGGGATGAGGCTAAGTGTCATAATAAGCTGAAAAACAATACAGCCCAGTTTCAGATGCATTTAATTTCAGAAAACTGAAAATAAAAATATTGTTTTATAATTTTCCTATGTTTTCCAGTACGGAGTTTGCCTGTAGATTAAGTTATGTAAATAAAAAAATAATCTTTGTACTCTTGACAGATTCTTTATCTTACCACATAAATGCTTTGCATTCAAAGCACTTACAGTCTCTCTGCCTTGCTGCAATAAAAGAGCTTTTCAATTATTTTTTAATTGCAGAAAAGCTAAATGAAGTGTGCACTGCTCAGGCAATTTGGCTTTCTTATTACAAAACACAAGGGGGATCTTGACTGAGCTCTACATATTGCAATGAATAATTTCTTTCCCTTTGTTGGGGTCTGGAACGATTAACATTTTTTAAACACAACAACATACATGTAATTTAAAACCAAATTTTTAAAAATGTGCATATTTTTCCTTCTATTTTTGAATAAGTCAAGTTTGCTAATTTCCTTTTATATTCATTGCACCTTGACTGCAGAATTTATTCCAGGTTAGCTGAATGTGGGGTTTTTTCCCCCCTATAGCATTAATACTGATTATATCATTAAGAGCGGGAACATTATCTGAACAGTATTTTTTGTTACTTTTGTAATGGTTAGTTCTTAACACAGTCAGTGAAGATTTGTTGCATTATTTACACATTATTTAAGTTTTAAGGATCTCGAAATAATTAACAAAAAGCTCCTCTATAGAAAACCAGCTCGGCTTACTTTTACCATCACTTCTGGTTTGGAATAGGGAATATACCAGCATGTTCACAGCCTAGGACTAGAACCAGACCCATGAGTTGCAACACGACTACAAGTCACCTTGTTGGAGAGAATCCTAACATGCCTGCACACACACACCCCCTCTCCCAACAACCTCCGCCACCCCCCAGTTATCACACTGAAGAAAAAACATATTGAACAGGTCTCCATGAGGACGTGAGTTTCCACAGAGTGTTATTATCCATTTTTAAGTACCCTTAAATTCTTTTTAAGGAACAATAATCCACCTGTCTCTTGTAATGGCACTCGCACAGCAAAATGTACACAGGATGAGAAAAAGATTCATTCACTAAATGCAAGTCTCGAGCAAGAAGGAATGTGCAGTAGCAGAAGCTGAACTGGCCTTGGTTAAACAAAACAGATTTAAAAAATTTACAGAACTTGAAGAATTTGTGGCAGTTAGCCACCTTGAAGAGCTCTTAAGAAAAGATATGACCTTTCCATCCTGAATTTTATTGTACTGTGTGGACTTTCATGTCTGACAGAAGAAGGTTTCTTTAGTTTCTTCTGTACCCGTTGCAAATTTCCAAACAGGATGGTAACACTTGTGAGGTCTTTAATGGTTGCCTGAACTGAAATGACAATATGGAGCTCAAAGAAACTTTTAATTATTTTAAGAGCAATAACAAACACTGCAAGAACTAAACTGAAGCAGCCCCATGAATATTAGGCTGAATTTCCAAAACTGTACTCTAATATTGCGGGCTGGAAACAGATGTTCCCTAATGGAAGCTTTTAGTATTTGCCTCTGGAAAAAAATCCATTATTCTCTTCATCAGATTAATAACAGAATACAAAATCATGGAATTTTGCTTAGGCATTCAAATTCAAGTCTTCCACCTGAAAATCATGTGCAGATCAGGCTAAATGCATTTAAAAAATAGATGTAGAAGATGCTGTTGGAAGAACTTAGCTCCTTCAACCTCAAGGTGATGTCCTGAAAGGTGTTAATGACAAGAATATCCCAAGATTGGCAAAAACCTTTTAGATTTAAATTTATTAATTTATCAAGGATAACTTTAAACTAGGATTGGGGCAAGTCTGTAGGTCAGTATAGAACAGTGATGATCTCGGCAATGTTGTGCTTGTTCCTAATTTTCTGGGGCCCTTTATACTACACATCATATGGAACAAATGTTGGGTTGTTTGTTTTTTTTTTACCTTATGTGTCAGTATTTTCATGTACTACTTGAAAATGGGAATGAAACACAAGTGTCCCAAAGCTTTTGAACCAAAAAATTATCTAAACAATGTCCACTGGCCTCACTTTAAGTATCATTATGCAATCTTTCTAGGTACTTTTTATTTTTCTCTCTTGAGCTACAATGGAGTAGCAGTACTCAATGCTCTAATTCCACAAAGAGATGAAAACTGTTCTCAGGCCGAGTGATCACACATTCTAATCTCACCTCAGACTTCCAGTTTTTCTCAAATACTTTCAGCTTTTCCTAAATTTTTAGAGGCTCACACTCTAAATTTTATAAATACCTGACAGAAATGATGTTTCACACCAGTAAGTGGGATCTTTGCATCTTCTGAAGTGGAGAAGACTCCTAATCTATCATTGTTTTCAGGTTAAGATGATTCATAACACTGACAAACTCATTATAACACTACTCATGAAAGTTTATGAAGGGTATTAAATGACATTCTGTACTTGACTAATTTTTGTTGCTGGTAACGTGATGCTGACCGACTTCAGGTCTCTGGCTGAAGCAGAGCATTGCCTGCATGGAGTAGAATGCCTCCAGAGGGTTTGTGCACTGACAAAACTATTCTTCCAAATTAAAAGGAAAAAGTAAAACAAGAAGTGCCCTATTAGAAACCATGAGGTCTTGATACCTGGAGACAACAGCAGTGCTTTCCTGCAATATGCAGGTAAAGCTGAATTCAGATCAGTTTTGATCTTGGCAATTTTCTAACATTCTCATCTCCACTTTACAAACTGTGAGCTAACGTGTTTCTTACTAACACGCTTCATATTGCCTGTTCCTCATGTGGACTATTCCTACTCTCAGCACTTTCTGGGTGGCCAGAAATGGAGAGAAAGGCTCCACATATCATAGGATACACATCACATATAAGCAAGTAGAATTGAGGCTGCAATTGATCCATGACAACCCACAACAAAGAGAGAGGAAACAAGACAGGTATGAGTAAGCGAAAAATGGTACCGTTCTCCACCTGCATGAAGAAAGGTGGACAGAATTCCAATTTGCTAGGAACATGTGATTCTTTGCTCTTTCTTTTACTCCTTTTGTTAAGTCCTTTACTCTTTTTGTTAAGAGTTTAAGTTAGTGATGGACACAGCAACTGGGACTTAAGTCTTCGATTCTGCATGGGATGCCACAGCTCTGGAAGACCAAAATCTTCAGTCCTCAAATGGTTAAATGCTAAGAGGAACGGGTGCCACCTACTGGCTCCCAGTCTGCCTTGGAGATTATCACAGCCAAATTAATAACCATAACTGATGACCTGGGTTTACAAGATGTGCTAAATCTTATGTGATATAGCTGCAGGCATAAGCTTTATACTTGTTCTTTTGTATTCAACTTGTCCTTGATTTCAAAGATGAGTTTGAAGCTCCACATTAAAGAGCTCCAAAGAAAACCATGTGCATTTTTATCATGTACCAATGATTAATTTTTAATACATGATTTGACTACCAATGATTCAATGTAGTCCACATCCACTTCTAAACACAACACATTATAGCAGCACAAAAAAGCAGCCAAAAATCATTTTTTCCTTGCAGCGTTCATGTCTAAAGCGAGCACAAATCTCTATTACTTTGTTTGTCTTGTACCTAAGGAAAGTGCTGATCTCTCCCGTTTTTGCAAAGTTTGCAGAGATTTTTGTGTAAAATTTCAGCTGGTTTATTCTCTACAGCAACAAGCTATTTTAACTGACTGCTGGGCTGGGACAGAAAAGGATCTAAATCAGCTCTTTCTAATATCATCAGTAATTTGTACATAACTTATTTTCACAGCCTCTTGTTGACAACAGAAGCTGAGTTCTAATGTGTACCTCTTTCAGCTTGAGATAACCACTAATTCTCCAAATATAAACTGGCCACAGACCGCTATGATCTGCTTGCCTATGATCTCTTTTTGATCTAAGAAATGCTTGAATGACTCAAAAGTCATAAGGCTGTAATGGAATTCATCACACGTTTCATATAAAGCTTTCTGATCATCTGTTTATTGCTCCATGGTTAGTAAATTAATCCATCTTCTATCAGCATTCTCAAAATGCCAAGGGCTACAAGACTGGGGGAAACAACCACAAAGGAAGTTGGAAGGGTACACAACTAATTCCTTACAAAATGCAAAATATTCAACAACTGGCTCAAGCACAAGGTTTCCCAATTTTATAAGGAGCAGAAAGGATGTTGTGAAACACTTTCACAGATGAAATCAAAGATTTTAAAATCAAGATGTAGAATCATAGAATGGTTTAGTATGGAAGAGAGCAATTTCCTGATACCTAATCTAAATCTACCCTCTTCCAGTTTGAAGCCATCACCCTTTCTCCTATCACTACATGCCCTTGTAAAAAGTTCCTCTCCAGCTTTCCTGTAACTCTCCTTTAGGTAGCGGAAGGCCACAATAAGGCCTCCCTGGAGCCTTCTCTTCTCCAGGCTGAACAACCCTAGCTCTCTCAGCCTGCCTTCATAGGAGAGGTGCTCCAGCCCTCTGATCATCTTCATGGCCCTCCTCTGGAATTGAATAATTATCAGACAAAACCTGACATACAGATATCAGGAAGAAATCTTTCACTATGAGGGTGGTGAAGCACTGGAACAGGTTGCCCAGAGAAGCTGTGGATGCCCCATCCCTGGAGGTGTCCAAGGCCAGGCTGGATGAGGCTTTGAGCAACCTGCTCTGGTGGGAGGTGTCCCTGCCCACGGCAGGGGAGCTAGAACTAGATGATCTCTAAGGTCTCTTCCAACCCAAACCATTCTGTGACGATTTTATGATTTGGGTCCGGCTGTTCCCCAACTGCCCTGAAGTTGCCCAACGACGGTGCCAGGCCCAGGCCTGCCTTTCAGCGAGGGTAGGACACAGAGCGGGGGGGACAGGCCCGTTGCCACAGGGCCCCGTTCAGAGGCGCATCTGGGCCTGCCGGGAGACCCGGGGGCGATGGCGGCGGGAAGGACGGCCCGCGGGCCAAGGGCCAACCGGCACCCGGGCGGGGCGCGGAAGGGAGGGAACGCCGCCACGTGCCGCCGCATGCTGACGTCGAAGCCCGCCCCTCGCCCTCCCCTCCGGCCTCCCTCGCCCGCTGCTCGGCCCCGCCGCCGCGACTCACGCAGATGGAGATGCGGAGCACCCCGCGCTGGTAGTCCCTGTACAGCTCCGCCGCCTCCCGGTTGCACTCGATGCAGCGGTAGGCGCCGAGCGCCGCCATGGCACGCGAGAGCACGCCCCGTCCTGTCAGGGCTTCAAACCGCCTCGCTTCTGCCTTCGGAACGGGGTCGCCCCGCGGTGTGTCCTGGGAGTTGTAGTTTTTCGTCTCACTGAGGTCGGGTTGGCCGTGCCAGCACAGAACTCTATGTCCCAGAAGACAGCGCGGCGGCGCCCCCATCCCCGCCCTTCCCGTGAGGCGTCCTCCGTCCCCGGCCCAGGCGGCCGCGGTGCACATGCGCCTTGGAAAGATGGCACCTGCCGGAGGCTGCGGAGCCGTGAGGGGGTTGTGGGTGCTGCTGGTCCTGCCGGCCCTGGCCCGGGTCGCGCTGGCCCTTACCGAGCAGTACCCGACCTTGTCCCTGCTGAAGCAGCGCCAAGGCCCGGCGGGGGGCTGCGCCTCGGCGGGGGAGTGGGCCGAGCAGTACTCGGCCGAGAGCGGTGAGTCGGGGGATGCTGCCGCCGTGATCGCCCCCAGCCTCGCCGTGGGGCCGTTCGCCCGGCGGCACCGCGCAGCCCCGAGGCCGGGGGTGGGCGCCGCTTTCCTCTCGCCCCTGCGGAGGGCGGCGAGAGAGGGAAAGGCGTGAGGGCCTCGCCGCCCGCTGAGGCGCCGGGGGTGGCAGAGGGGACGCCGGCCCGGCCTGGCCCGGTGCGGGGTGCCGGCGGCTGGGCTGCGGGCCTTGCTGCGGTTCAGCTGACTCACACCGAGGCGTCTGGTGTGTGTGAGCCGCGCCCGCCGGCTGTAGCCTTGTGCCGTCCTGCTGTGCGGGACAGGGACTGCTGCGGCGGCACTGAGCTGGGGACAAGCCCTCGCCCCTCGAGTGGGTGAACTGTCAGGCCTGTACTATCAAGCAGGAGGATTCTTCTGGTCCCACTTGCCAACCTGCCCAGTCTAGCTGCTGGACGCCACGTGCTTTTTAATCCTTGAGCTCAGTAGTAGTCGGACAAGCCAACACTTTGTGCTCTGGGGCCCTCAACATAAGAAGGACATGGATCTGGTGGAGCAGGCCCAGAGGAGGGCCACAAAGATGATCAGAGGGATGGAGCACCTCTCCTGTGAAGACAGGCTGAGAGAGCTGGGGTTGTTCAGCCTGGAGAAGAGAAGGCACCAGGGAGACCTTATAGCAGCCTTCCAGTACCTAAAGGGGGCTACAGGAAAGCTGGAGAAGAACTTTTTACAATGGCATGTAGTGATAGGTGAAAGGTTGATGGCTTCAAACTGGAAGAGGGTAGATTTAGATTAGATATCTGGAAGAAATTTTCCACTATGAAGGTGGTGAGGCACTGGAACAGGTTGCCCATGGAAGTTGTGGATGCCCCATCCCTGGAAGTGTTCAAGGCCAGGCTGGATGGGGCTTTAAGCAACCTGGTCTAGTGGGAGGTGTCCCTGCCCATGGCAGGGGGCTTGAAACGTGATGATCTTTAAGGTCCCTTCCAACATAAACCATTCCATAATTCTGTGTTATCGAGTTGAATATGTCTTGATTCTTTTTCAGCTACAGTTAAAATATTTTGCTGGTGAATTGGATGCTCTTCTTTACGAGCACCAAGTTCAGGTAGCAGATCTGGTCTTTTTTGAGTTAATTGATAGCTTCTAATACAGGCGCAGTCAAAACTGTTTTTATGTGCTTAAATATCTGTTGCATCGAGATCACGAGACTTAAGTAATCTTTATCATGAGCATAGTGTGAGTGTGCTATACAAAAATGCCAACCTGAATCCCAATGTACATGTAATACAGATGAAGGAAAAGGTTTTATGAATTCGATGCAGCATAGGCACTCAATTATTTATATGAGAATAACCAGTGCTGTGTCACGACTGCTTAGCTGTTGGTAGGGTTATTTTCCCCCCTTATTTCATAATTCTGTGCTCAGCAAGGACAATATACAGTTAGTATAATCCACTCAAATGTACAAACTTTCTAGAAATAACTTGTTATGAGTTTCCTGCATCTGCTTTTTTTTTCACCTTTGTGTGTGCTTTTGTCATCACAGCTTAAAGTTATTTGGTTAGTTTTTATCTATATCAGCTGTGTTAAGTAGGTATTTTATATCAGCTGCTTTTTTGGGGGGGGTTGGGGGGAGGTTGGCTGCAATGGTTGAGAGCCATAGTACGTGAACACTGAATCAGATCATGAAGGTTATCTCAGGTGACCATTGCTCCAAATCACTCAAGCTTAAGCATAAAACCAAAAAGACTTTCACCCAGTGTTAAGATAAAATCTGAATACCATATAAGTTAATAAATGGCAAAGCATTTGATTATATCTCTTCTGTTACTAGGACATGAATGATTGACTCGGGATATTCCTTCAGAGGTATATTTGGAAGATTAGATTTTGGTTTAATGGTGGGTGTGGTTTTAAAGAGACCAGTGCAACTAGGATTGATATAAGAAATTCTGCTTAAATCATCAGGTACCTCAGGAACTTTGCATGCACTGATAATAAGGTAGCCCTTAATTACAGAACAGCATACTTAACCACAAAATAGCTGTATACCAATTCACTCCTTGCCATTTAAATCCTGTGGCTAAATAAATTTCCAACTGAAAATTCCCTTGGGCTCTCAGTCTTTGTTTTACTACAAGCTTCCCAGAAGCTGGGGATCTCTTCGTCTCAAGCAGTCTACAATGAGGTCCAGGGTAATTTTTCTGGTGTTTCTATTTGTTCATGAAGTGGTCAATGAGGCAGTGTGGTACAGGTCTGACTGTATCTACCTTGCAGACAATGGCAGATCCATTCTTCCCCATGAGTAAAGCAGCTTCTTGTTCCAAGAATTGCAATATTTGAAGGGTCCTTTCCCCCCTTGTAACAGATAGGCTGTTCTTATTCCCTGCCACCTTGTTAAAAAATTCCTTCACTAAATTCTTGCTGTTATGCAGAAAAATATTCTGGAGGTAAAATGTTCCTGCACCTCTTTGTTTTGTTTGTGAAGCAAAAGTTGCTCAGTGAGTCCACAGTGTTGTCTCTTAATGGTCATTGAATTATGAGCATCAACACAGAACAAGTACTGTGTTAATAATGCTGCCATAGCACAGGAGGGTTTGTCCAAGGTGAAGAACAAAGGGCAGTGTTGAAACATCTTACTGGCAATGTTTTTTCTGGAAACCATGGGTAGTGAGCCACTGTTCTTCCTGGACTTCTTGACTTTAAACTTTGGCCTTCTGCTTTTCACCACTCTCGCTTCTGTTCTAAAACTTCTCCCACCAGTTATCGGTTACGGTTCAACTTAGTTCCAAGTTTCTATTTACAGGGAGTGATTTTTAGATGCTATTGTGATTTCTCCTTCTAAGATGACTTCCTTTTTCTCTTTTAGTACTGTACTTGTGAGAAATGGGGCGTTAACTAACTGCAACCCTTATGTAATCAAAATATAAGAACAGCACTGCCTATAAAAGTGAATTAGAAACACATGCTGCCACCTAGTCTTTCAAATTTAACATCAAACTTTTATTTACAAACATTAGGGGAGATGATAAAATTTGGTATTTGTGAGATTGATCAAAGAGATAATACTGTTTATTTGTTTTTTCTTTGGTCTTGAAATATTTCAAGTTAATAGAAGCTTTAAGATCTGGCTGGCTGGGGCTTTGAGCAACCAGGTCTAGTGGGAGGTGTCCCTGCACGTGGCAGGGGAGTTGGAACTCTGTGATCTTTAAGGTCCCTTCCAACCCAAATCATTCCATGATCTGGATTTAAACATTTAAAAGCTAAAAATTCTATTGTGATAATAGTTAAAGCACCATGTAGGTGAAGTAGTAGCTTCTGGAGTCTATAAATCTGGAGGGTTTTGTTGATTGCTGTTGTTACTTTGTTTCATTTGTTCCCTTTTTTAAACTTTTTCTCTCCTGCGCCAACAAGCTGTGTTGGACTTCTCATAGGTTTGAATCGATCTTATACTTTTTGTAATGGACTCCTTAGTAATATACCTGTGAGGACCTTTGTATATGTTCAGTTAGTTAGGTTTACTGTTCTGTCTGCTTTTTACAGTCTTCATACTTCTGTCTCCTGAACTTCCAGCAGCTGCTGCGTGGTCCATTCCATTTCTTGTCCTCTCTTGGGATTGGAATGCTAATTTGGTCTTTAATTTCTTGGGCCAGAGAACACAATCATAATGCTAAATGGGGACATCAACCCCAAAGTTTTCTTATTTGCTTCCAGGTGTCTGACTTTTATCCCTCCTCCTTTCTGTCCCCTTCCCCTGCTCCTCCCTTCCCCCCTGCCATGTATTTTTAACCAAAAGCATTAGCAGATGTAATAATAAAACTAATTATATAAAAGCAGTCATGTCAACTATTGCTTCACTGACTGTATGTGTGCAGAAAGCGCTTCATGAAAGTTCTGCCCTGTGGAGTGCCCAATGGGGAAGCTGTTCAGATGAACAGGAGGAAATGTGAGATGTGATAATAGAACACACATGTAACTTTTTGAGTTCCTAAAGCTGTTTTCTCTCTTTTCCCCCAGATTCATCGTTTTTGCACTTCCATGAATCAGACTGTGACATAGGAGGGTCTTCATCTTGTGAATCTGTGCTTTCTCTCAACACAGAAAAAATTTTGGTATGCTATCAAGAATATAACGTACAAAACAATTTTAATAGATTCTTGAAGTCATTGATGATTTTAGCTGCATAATCGGTTAGAATGAAGCTCAGGCAAGTTACTACAAATAGAATCTAGTAATCAGTAGGCATAGGTCCCCAAAAGGCTTAAGTATGAGCAAACTTATGTTGCTCACAGAACATCCTAGTACTCCATCATGAGTCTTTAGGGTTGTTAGCAGTTTCAACTAATTGAAGCTGATGTTTCCACAGAAGGTTAATTTTTACTTGGATTGTCTACCAATTAATTTTTTATTTTTAGAGGTGCAGGGGCTATGGCTGAAAAAGTGAAAGGTGCATTATTTTTTACCCAGATTAACTACCTAAGGAAGTTTACCACAAAATGCATGTAAAAGTAGGAGTGATGACTTGCAATCGCTACAGAAATGACATTGTGCACAGATTATAGAGTTAGAAGCTTCAGACTATATTTCACTAAATGTAATACAGACATGCTATGTGGAGTATATTCTAAAGAAAGAAGAGTATCTCTTGGTATATACATTATTAGATTAACAGGGTAGAAACTGCAATGGGATCTGGCCAGTTACTTTTGTGCTTTGTGGATTATTAAAATGTGTGTGTTACAGACACAAG